GTTCTTTAAAGACTCCATTTTTGTATTCTTTTTTAGATTCTTACACTCCTTAAAAAAGAAAGTGAAGAATAAAGCTAGGGTGGAGGACTCTATTTGTGAAGCTTACTTGGTGGAAGAAACATCTACATTTGTCTCATTTTATTATCCTGATCATGTTGAAACAAGAAGGACTAGGATTCCTATAAATGTTCATGTAGGTGAAGGTTCTTCATCCTGTCCTCCTATTTCAATTTTCAACTACCCAAGAAGACCAATTGGAAAATCTCAAACATATTTTCTGCACCAAAGAGACTATGATGCTGCCGAATTATATGTTCTTCAAAATTGTGAAGAGGTTCAACCATATTTTGAGTAAGATGTTTTCACTCCTCTCACATCAAAATTACTCATGTTACTTTGTGTGGTTTGAGTAATTTGTTACGTGTTTACAGTATTTATATTAAATATTTAAGACAACTAAATCCTAGTATTTCTGGTGCCCAAATTGACCAAGACATTTCATCCTGTTTTCCTAAATGGTTTAAAAAATATGTAAGTTTTTGACTTATATGTCTTACAAATATTTATTCGACTTACATAGTCTAATGTGTAAAGGACTTTCTTGTCTTTAGGTTCTAAATCCAGAAAATAATATTGAAGATCCATTATTGGTTAATTTGGCATGGGGTCCCAAGAGAAAAGTTGAATTATGGCCTATGTATGTTATCAATGGATACAAATTCCACACTATTGTTTGGAGTGAAGGCATGAATTCTCGTAACTATGGTGTTTATGTACGAGGAACCAATGGTCAATTAGAGTCAGATTTTTATGGATTATTGTCTAATATTATTCAATTAGAGTATATTGGTTTGCCATTGATGAATTTAGTTCTCTTTCAGTGTGAATGGTTTGACAATACTCTTAATATAGGAACCAAAGTAGATAATAAATATGGAATCGTGGAAGTAAAGCAATCACAAAGATATAATAAAGTATATGATCCTTTCATATTTGCACAACAAGCAGAACAAATTTATTACACAAGTTATCCAGAGGGACACCGAAGTTGGTTGGGTGTAATAAAGACAAAATCTTGTAGTAGAATCATTGATAATATAGTCAGTCGAGTTGAGCATGAGACTCCATATCAAGATGATGAGCTTGTAGGACTTCAAGTAGTGCTTCGTGTTGATCCAAACTTCATTGATGATTCCCTTGCTGATGTTAATGATGAGGGAGAAGAAATAGATATACAATTACTAAATGAAAGAAATATAGATGAAGATGAGGATGAATATATTTCAAGTGAGGATGAGACTGAGAGTGATTTTGATGATACAGATACTTCGGTAATTCATGCATTAAAATTATTTTTACAATTGTTAATTTTGATTGTACACCTTTATTTAATATTGCATATATATATATATATATATATATATATATATATATATATATATATATATATATATATATTGATATGATTATGATTTAATTATTTGTAGTGAATGAGTGGTAAGCTAACCGACACGTTTGGGTGTAGAAAACAAAATAAGGTAATTCATTGTTTCAATTGTTTAATTTTATGCATGTTACATATGTAATAAGATCCGCTTGTAGATGCCACAAAGGGGTAGAAGTGGTGGTCGTAGACCACCTCATCGTGGTGGTCGAGGTGTACTTGTTGATGATAGAGGTTCACCCAACCCTAACTCTCCTAGTTCCGTTCGACCAAGATCCATGGAGTCTACTAATCCTATGTTTGTAGAACGCGCACCTCTCTCAACTCAGCGAGAATCTCCTGTAGCTATAATAAGGCGACATTTGGTCAAGCTACACAGTACACGGGTCGGTCGCAACCGAGGTTGAGTCCGAAAATATGGTTGATCAAAGGTCGTGGTTACAAGCAGACAAAAGAGAGTAAGTATGTTTTAATTTAATTATAATTCTTTAATATGAAATTTCTTAATAATATCAATCCCACAATATATTTCAACACAGGTTTATACCAGCAAATGGTCCTCCTGCTATAATCTCTAGAATCATCAAACAAAAATTTGATGAACCAAGTCCCACTTGGAGAAAGGTTTCACTTGAGCTTCGAGATAGATGGTTTGGAGAGTTCAAGGTAATTTGAAGTATAGTTACATTAAACAATGTCATTTCATTCTTATAAATTAAATGTTTGTTGTGTAATTTTTTTATACAAAAAAAGTATATATGGGATGTGGAACAAGAGCAAGTCATAAGATCTGTTTTTGATAAGAAAGGTTCTCAAATTTTAAAAAACTCAATGAACAAAGTTAGGAATAGTAAGGATACGGGGATCTGAATACCGCCAGTTGTTTGAGCATCTTTGGACTTACATTGGAATTCTCCAGATTTCCAAAACAAGAGTGTCATTGCCAAGGCTAATCGAGTTGTTGATAAGGGTGCCTCGACTTACAGTGAGGGTTTCATATCTACTCATGACTCACTTTGAGAAGATGGTAAGTTTATTATATTTTTATATAAGTAATTTAATACAATATATTAGACTTTAGGTAATGAATTTTGTCTCATTTTAACGTGTAGACTACGAAGTTTCAACGGGAACCAACCGTTTGGGAGGTAGTTAAGAGGACAAAAAAATTAAAGACTGGACAATGGATCAATGAAAAAACTCGTTATCTTCGTCGTATGTTTAACATCTAAGTTATAATTTATTATTCAATATATGTTTTCTTCATAATAATTATATTTCACTTCATTTTTAGGAACAATATATGCAGCGTAGAAAAGAAGTCCATCAACATAACTTGCGTGAAGGCTCATCTTCACAAAAGTCTCCTATTGTCTCTATTGATGATAATGAAATATACTTTTCAATTGCTGGAGATGGAAATAAAAAAGAAAATGTGTATGGACTTGGTACAATGAGCAAAAAGTTCACTACTACATCAGGTTCTCAATCTTCTATTACTCAAACTCCAGTACTTCATGAAATTGAACAAATGCGTGAGACTATTGAAAAGTTAAATGTTGAATTGATGGCAAAGCATAATAAGGAGAAGACACTTCAAGAAGAGATGCAGGAGTTGAGGAACAACCAACGCCAACAAGATGAGCAGATGAAGCAGAGGCAACTTATTTTACAACATATTCAAATGAATAGTCATCCTACTACAAGTCAACATGATATTGACAATATACCAAAGGACTAATTTTCAATTTTATGATATTAAGACTTTGAATATTGAGTAGTTGTTTAGAAAAATTTTATTTCTGATATGACTTTGAATTTTTCTTATTATGATTTGAATAATTTGACTTTAGTTCTTAAGTTTTCATTTGTGTTTTGTTTGGATCAATTAAGCATGTACAAATTTTGCAAAATTGGATATACAAAATTTTAAACGAAAATTTTCAGATTTGGTTAGATTAGCGACCGAATTTTTGGTCGCTACAAATATATTATAATATACAATTCAAATTTAACGACCAAAATTATTCTCGTGACTATTTTTGCGACCGATTTAGCAACCGATTTAAATTATTATTTAAATAATTCAATTAATGTATTAGCGACCGATTATATCGATTGCTATTATTAGTAACTTTGTCTCCAATTTAGCAACTGATTTAGTATATTAATTTCTATCACTATTTTTGCGATCGATTTAGCGATCGATTTTAATTATTATTTAAATAATTTAATTAATATATTAGCGACCGAATATATCGGTCGCTATTTTTTAAAAACTTTACCACCGATTTAGCGACCGATTTATTATATTAATTTCGGTCGCTATTTTGGTCTTTAAGTCATAAGTAACCAAATTATTTAGCGACCACCTTATCGGTCGTTATTTTGCGACCGAAATGTAAATCGGTCGCTAACAAATTAGCGACTTGACCTTTTGTGACGAACCATTTCGATCGCTAACAGAATAACGACCGATTTTTTCGGTCGCTAATAGTGTTTTTTCTTGTAGTGATTACATTAGAGTATATATAGTGGGCAGCATTGAACAAGGGTAGAATTGTCAATTCAAATAATTAAAACTAAAATCAAATTTCAAAAGAGAAGTACCTGAAATTCCAAAAGAGAATTAATGAAACAAATACTAAAAAGTTAAAAGAAAAGAAAAATTGAATTCTGCAGAGATAACTATTGAAAATGAAAGCTAATCATGTTTTTACAATACCTTTGCGATCAAATTACTCAAGACTGAACATTGACCATATACAACACATAAGAATAAAGAAAGTTGCCACAGATTAAAGGTTGCTTCTTTGCACACAGTAATGATATGGGATAGATATGTGTCAAAATACTTGTTGTTCTATTATTTAGTTCAATTAATATATTCAGACCCCTAGCTAACTAAGAAAACACAATAACAATTAATCAGATTCAGAATTTAGAGAATCTCCATTTTCTCCCAGCCTTCTCTTCTGACCATGAATTCTTTCAAGCTATGTTTTTTATTTCTCTTTGGTGTTAAGCTTGTCAACAAGTTTTAAGAAAGCCTTTGCACTAAAACTAAGTACCGTAATTTGGGAGGAGAGATTGATTCCTAATTAGGATTAGGGTGATTAAAAACCCTTGTATTATTCATCCAGCAGTTTATATATATATAAGCACAAACCAAAACGTTGATTATATTAGGATGATCAAGTATTCCTAGGTACTTTTCCACTAGTTAGTATTAATTGAGATTTGAGGCATAAGCTTGAGACAATTGCTTATTCCGTTACTCTTCAACCAGAAATGTTTCTATATTATCACTCACTAACTCATTAAATTTAAAAAAAAAAAACTGAAAAATATAAATCCTGACTTCAAGAGACATATGTATAAGTAAACTGAAACGCATTATTATTATATTCAGAATAAGATGCATTTGATGTCATATTAGTAAAACGCATGCCAGACTTAGACTAAAATGGTCCTGCAACTAGAGTTTAGATTTGAATATATACAAAGATATAGGGAGTCTAATCTTACATATTAGGCGGTGGCTGCAGGATTGCCGATGGAGGCCCTGGTGGCGGCGCGGTCACAGATGCCACGTATGGCGAGTGATGCAGGGTGCCTTGCGGAGTAGCTAGGGCTGGAAAGTGGAGATTGTGACTGAGAAGAAGAACAAGGGTGTGTGTGAAGGTGGTTTGGGAGAGAGGCGCGAAAAAGGGACTCACAAGTTAGTGATTTGCAGTGGTGGATCGGCTGGCGAGGCTTGGCCAGATGGGAATTGGTGGTTCGAAGGTGAGGAGGCTCTGGGTGAAGGCAGTGGCCGCCAGTGATCGCGGCGCAGTGGAGAGGGAACCAGGAGGCTATTCGCGGTTAGGGATTCGATTGGGGAAATCAGGCGTGATTCGCGGTTAGGGTTACATATATTTTTGTTTCATATAAAAATAAAATGCTAATAATAAAATAATAAAGAAAATTATAAAAACATATATAAATTATATTTATATGTACAAAATATTAAAGATATCCATATTTTTAAAAAATACTAAAATATATTAAAAAATTATACTTTAAATTGATGAAATATATTTAAAAAAAGTTATATTTATTAAAGTATTAAAAAATATTTTGTAATATATAAATTAAAAAAAATTATCATTAAAATTTTTAAAAATTATTAATTTTCTAATTTATACACAATGAAAATAAATTATAAATAGTATATAATATATTGGTATATTGGTATAATATATTTATATTCTAATTTTTAATTAAACTAAAATTAAGCTAATAATATATAATCATATATGAGGGGATAATAAATTTAAGTGTGTATACAAATGTTGATCTTCTTAACTATAAAGAAACAGTAGAAAAATATAAAGATAAAATTTAAATATGTGAATTTTGAAGATAAAGACTATTTATATATATATATATATATATATATATATATATATATATATATATATATATATATATATTCTAGTATATCAATTAACAATAATAATACATAAAATTTAAAAACTAAACTAAAAAAAATAAGTTTCAATTTATAAAAAAATACATTACTAAAAGTATCATATTATATTAAGATTTTCATTATTTTTGTTAATTATAAATTTAAGTGTATTTTCACTTTTGATCCATCATAAATAAAAATAAACATTCTCTTATAAATGTTGTTCTATTTTAATCTATCATTAAATTTGTTTTATATTATTTGAGACAAGTATTTAAATTTTTTTATATTTTATTTTTACGTATTTTTTAACTTCAAATTTATTTTTTATTTTTATTATTTATTTTCTTATAATTTAAAGTAATTAATATTACTTTAACATTTACTTTGATGATTTTTATTATAACAAATCAAATAAAATCATTTGATAATACCAATTAATTAGAATCATAACATCAAATATTTAGATGACTAGATTATTTAAAAATAAAAAATAAAAACTAGTATTATCTTAAATTTATTAAAAATATAATTAAATCTTCATTTTCTTATCCAATTTTATAAATTTTTTAATAAAAATATAATATATAAAAAGTTAAAATTTTAAAAAGGCACAATCTTAACTTACATTAACTGTTTTTTTTGAAAAAATTGACAAGAAAAACTGGGCTTTGAAAAAAAAATTAATAATTTTGAAGTTATTTTAGTGATGAAGCTTCCAAATGTGATTCATGCATTTATTGAGCAAAATTGGAAGTGTGTTGAATATAAATTTAAATATATTTTTAATTTATTTTTAGTAATTATAAAATAGATTTTTTTTTATTTTTAATTTTTCTAGTAGTCTATTTTTAATCTTTGTTATTAATTATGTTAAAAATGAAAAATATTAAATAGTATACTTAAAGTAAAAAATATTTCAACTAAAGATAAATATATTTTTATAAATAATTTAATTAAATAATATATTTACTATCTAATATCAATTATATTTTGATATAAAAAAATTTATGGTATATCAATTATATGAAAACCATGGTTAAGCAATTAATAATAATAAAACAATAAATTTTAAAATTAGATTAAAAATAAAGTATTATAAAATAAAATTGTAATAATTTGATTGAAATTGTACTTTTTTAATTAATTAAGTTAACGAGGAATTAAAATGTGATAATTTGATGTGTTAAATTTTTTTAATATAAATTTTTAAAATATAATTTAATTTCAATTGAAATTTTCAATTCAAAAATATATTAAAGAATATTTGTTATTAAACTTTTCTTAAATAATATATTGAATACTTAATATCACTCTAGTCTTAATTTATTACAATTTAAATTTTTAATAAATTTGATTTATTTTTATTTTAGTAATTTAAAATTAAAGTTAATCTTCATTTTGTTAACATTAAGACCAAAGTTGATTTTTAAAGTATATTTAAAAAAAATTACTTTTAAAAAATAAATTACTTTTAAAAAATAAATTGTAAAAAATATACTAAAGCAATTAAAGTATATTTATAAAAAAATAAATTTAAATATAATAAAAAAATTATGTTCATTAGCGACATATTTTAATTTGGTCGCTATTTTCTCATTAGCTGACCGATTTCAATTCGATCGCTATTTCAATTTGTAATTTGGTCGCTAAATCGAGTCACTAAATTATTTTTTTTATTTTAGTATAGAATAGCTTCTGATTTAGCGACCGAAATTTTGCGACGCAAACTATTAGTCACTATTTCGGTCGTTAAATAAAAAAGTGAAACCAAATCATATTTCGGTGGCAAAATTGGTCGTTAATTGCGATGGAATAAAATCGATCGCTAATTTCGGTCGCTAAAAATATTTTTTCTTTTAGTGTTCCATTTATTTCATAATTCAAGCCCAAATATCTTGTCCTAGTCCAAAATTTCAATGAAATTAGGATTCTATTTCACCACAAGTCTTAGTTTTCGGTAGTGATTTTTAAAAATAATATTCAAAATCTCCCTCATTTTCCTCATTTGATCAAGAATATCCATATTTAATATTCATATTCAATAGTTCCAATTCAATGAGATTGTTGTTGGAGGGTTTTAGTTTGTTGAATAACATGGTTAATTTCTATCTCCTCTTAAGGAAAGAAGGACTAGGTCTAGAAAGATATTAATTCACTACAATATTTTCTTCGGTTATAATTACATATCTAAACAGAAATGTGAAAATTAAAATAAATATTTAAAAATAAAAACTAGTATTATTTTAAATTTATTAAAAATATAATTAAATCTTCATTTTCTTATCCAATTTTAGAATTTTTTTTAATAAAAATCCAATATATAAAAAAGTTGAAATTTTAAAAAGGCACAACCTTAACTTACATTAACTTTTTTTTTTTTGAAGAAGCTCGACAAGAAAAACTGAGCTTTGAAAAAAAAATTAATAATTTTGAACTTATTTTAGTGATGGAATTTCCAAATGTGATCTAAACATTTATTGAGAAAATTTTGAGGTGTGTTGAATATCAATTTAAATATGTTTTTAATTTATTTAAATATGGTTTATTTTTAGTATTTATAAAATGGATTAGTTTTAAATTTTTAACTTTTCTAGCAGTCTATTTTTAATCTTTGTTATTAATTTTGTTAAAAATGAAAAATATTAATTAGTATACTTAAAGTAAAAAATATTTCAACTAAAGATAAATATATTTTTATAAATAATTAAATTAAATAATATATTTATTATCTAATGTATATCAATTATATTTTGAAATAAATTTTTTTCTAGTATATCAATTATATGAAAACAACTATGGTTAAGCAATTAATAATAATAAAGCAATAAATTTAAAAATTAGATTAAAAATAAAGTATTATAAAATAAAATTATAATAATTTGATTGAAATGGTAATTTTTTTTAATTAATTAAGTTAATGATAAATTAAAATGTGATAATTTCATGTGTTCAATTTTTTTAATATAAATTTTTAAAATTTAATATAATTTCAATTAAAATTTTCAATTGAAAAATATATTAAAGAATATTTGTTATTAATTTTTTCTTAAACGAGTGTATTGAATAGTTAATATCACTCCAGATCTTAATTTATTTCAATTTAAATTTTTAATAAATTTGATTTATTTTTATTTTAGTAATTTAAAATTAAAGCTAATATTCATTTTGTTAACATTGAGACCAAAGTTTATTTTTAAAGTATATTTAAAAAAATAAATTAATTTTAAAAAATAAATTACTTTTAAAAAATAAATTGTAAAAATATATTAAAGAAATTAAAGTATATTTATAAAAAAATAAATTTAAATATAATAAAAAATAATATTAATTAGCGATCAATTTCAATTCGATCACTATTTCAATTTGTCATTAGTTGTTAAATTAGTCACTAAATTATTTATTTTATTTTAGTATGGAATAGTCATTGATTTAGCGACCAAAATTTTGTGATACAAAATATTAGTCGTTATTTCGGTCGCTAAATAAAAAAATGAAACCAAATCATATTTCGGTGACAAAATCGGTCGCTAATTGCGACCAAAATAAATCGGTCGCTAAATTGCGACTAAATTAAATCGATCGTTAAATCGGTCGCTAATTGCAAATGAAAAAATTTAGTCGCTAACTTTGGTCGCTAAATGTGTTTTTCTTATAGTGGATTTTAGTCATAGATCGGTTATTAATTTTAGTCACAGGTACGATTACTAGTTATAGTTACAGATTCAACCATTGATTTCAGTCACAAATTTACCTAAATTTTAGTCATTCTTGATATTTTTCTTATAATGTCTGCTTTGTAAAGTGTGTCTTATTGAGATGAACGATGAAACTAGTAAGGATCCCCACTAAAGATATAAATTCTTAGCAAGGGTTTTCATTCATTTGAAAGTAGTAGTGGTTAAGAAATATTTACATTTAAGGAGAGAGTATTCTTATATATAGGAAATCACTTGAGGTGAAGTGTTAGAATTAAAATGTGAGTTGAAATCCTACATTGGATAAAATTAGTCTTTATTGTCTTAAGTTTTTAGATTGAATGTGAAACCATATTCTCTTATATATTTATTTTGTCTCACTTAATTAAATCCAATAATGGTGTTAACTCCTTTTTTTTAATACTAACATATTTTTCAAGTATTATTAGAATATAGTTTTAATATATATATATATATATATATATATATATATATATATATATATGTGTGTGTGTGTGTGTGTGTGTGTTTATGTGTGAATATATGATATTTATCTCAAGCAAAAATTGTCAAATAACTTCATCTCAGATTCTAATTTCACCAAGATAGGATTAGATTATTAGTACAAAATGGAGCTTTTACGTCTATTATTTTGACCATTTTACTTCAAAAACAAGTTCTACATTAATACAGGAGACGTACATTTTCATCGAACATAATCACCAATGTAAATTTACGTCAAACTAGGAGCATAC